TAGGTTTGATACAAATCCAGATCGGGCTTGAGACAAACTCTACATTTCTCCATCCACCTTCACTTCTCTCCTCACTCACCATTTCTCCTCTGAATCAGCGGATACTATTGTGAAGAAGAGCTTGAAGCCTGGCGTCATGGCCCCCGCACGGCTCTACAGTAGCAACGGTTGGTATGCGCCGTCACAAACTCACTGTAGGCTTGATCGTGTCAAGATTTGGCTTTATCAGCCCCGGCTCCCGTTCGGCAGTAACATACGTCAAGATCTGGCTCACTGTAGGCTCGAACAATGGTTGACGAGGCCCCTGGCTTGAAGATCTCGCCCATCGTTGTCCTTGTCATGAGTCTCTGCTTCATCGGCTTTGTCACTGCTCTTCATGTGTTTGGCAAGCTCTATCGCTCCAAATCTGGAGCCGAAGCATGATTCATGTCCTGAACACCATTCTTGTTTCGGATCCTTTTTTTAGTCATGTTTCAATTTTAGCTTTGTAGATGATGGCAAGATTGCAGTATCTAATGCTTTTCTTGTGGATTTTTTACTTCTTGTATGTTTTTTTTCTTTTCAAAATGGATGGATAAGTTTCTCTGCCTTTTCATATCGCCTTTTTCTTTCTTCCACTATTTCTTTAGCGTTGAAATGCTAGACATGTCAATTCAGTTTCTACTAAGGATTCTCAAACAATTATTCAGATTGCTAATCTTCTTTTTGTGTAGCAGTGGTTAGTAGTTAATTGCTACACGCCAATTTTGTTCTTACTCCTAATGGTTATGGTTTAGATCCTTTAGCTTCTATATGGATTAGCATTTCTTTTTTCTGACAAATTGTTTGCTTTAGTTTTATTGTTTGAGTGATTTGTGCTTGAAGGTTTCTTTGGATTATCATTTTGTATAGAAAATGAACACGACACGACTAAGAAAAACTCAAATCTAGGTTTGAGAGATGAAGAAGAAGGGAGAAGAGAGAGAGAGAGAATAAGAAGAGGAAAGAAGAAGAATGAGCAGGGAAAGGAAGAAGGAAAGAAGGAAGAAGATGAAGTTTGAGAGAGAACCCAGATCCCAAATCTAGGTTCGCAGAGGTATGGGAAAAGGAAAGGTAAAGGAGAGAGAAAGTGAAAGAGGAAGAAGAGATGGCCTGGATGAAAAAAAAAAATCATTAATTTTTAAATTAAATAAAAATGCCAATTCATAGGCCAACTATATATTTTTTTTCACGTCATTAGTTAAGAAAAAAAAAAGAATTGATTTGCTGGCAAGTTAACATGACACTTGTCATTTAACTAACGAAAGGATTGTTTTGGTACAAAAATAAAAGTTTAAGGATAATTTTGATACTTTTTAAAGTTAAAAGACAATTTTAATGTCAAAGTAAAGAGTTGAGGGAACAAAATGATACTTAAACCTAAAATGAACCGGTAATCATTTTCATCAATTAAATGCCTGTCCCATTGAATCTGCCAACCCATAACTATGGATTGTTTACCTGATCTTGACGTTCAATTGCCTGCTCATGCTGAAAGGGTTTGAGGGTCATTCAATCAATTATAAGGCATGTTGCATTAGTAGCTTAGCTTAGGTTTCATATTTTTTTGTAGTATGCAGTCATAAAGCCAGTAAAACTATACCTGATGTTACAGGCTATGGTAAGAAGCAAGTAGCGATTATTGTCAGCTCTGTAATGCTGACTGGAATGTTTTTCATTGGATTATTATGTTACTCAACAGCAAGTTGCCTCTTCCTACCACTCTCCTTTTAGTATCCACGCCAAGTAGA